TGATGGGCATGGCTTGGTGGGCGTGTCAGGGGAAGGATACTGCAAAATCTCCATTCCCTCTCCACTCCAGGAGAATGATATTGTAAAATCTCCATTCCCTCCCCACTCCAGGGGAAGGTTACTGCAAAATCCCCATTTCCTCCCGGTCAGCTGGGACTCGGGAGGCAGAGAATAGATGGGGGTGGGGCCAGTCAGAGGTGGTATTTGCCGGTTCTCCAAACTATTCAAAATTTCTGCTACTGGTTCTCCAGAACTGGTCAGAACCTGCTGAATACCACCTCTGATTCATATACATTTGATGTAGTGAGCCATATCTAACAAAACACAATAGAATCTGTTAGTTAGACAAGCTGCTACCGGACTCTTTCTAATTTAATTATTTCACTAGGAATTATTTCAGCTTAGGAAAGCTAAGGAAGCTAGGTGGCTAGAAAACTGGAAGTTGCTTAATTTATCTTTCTTTGCCTTAACACACTGCCCTCACCTTCATTGGCAACCTTATCCTCAAACAAGCAGGATTCAAGAACTTGTTTTGAAGACTGTAATCTTTGAATTTTGAAGCTGTTTGGAGTTGCATGCCTAGCAGCTTAGAGCCCACTGGTTTCAGCTAGTAACATATTATACCAATCTCCTAACCCTCCAAATTTGGTGCCCTCCAGAATTGTTTGAACTATAATTTTCAAGGTTCTTAGCTAACAAAAACGGTCTAAGTATTGTAATTGCAAAACATCTGAAGGAAGGAAACTGACATAATTACTATACCCTGAAACTATCTCCTGTACAAATAGTTCAGGCTTCAGTACACAGTTATAGTTACTTCTCATTTAATTTATTTCCTTCTCTCATACTCAAAGGTTGAGGCCACTCCTTAGTAAAGTGGAGTCTTAATGACATTTGATGACATGAAATTACACTTAGTGATATTTAATGAAACTTACTGTTTCTTTCTTCTCTGACTCAATAGAAGAGGTAGCACCTCTGGATCTTATGGCAGACTTCTTGAATTCTTCTCTTGATGTGTCTGATGAAGGACCTTGTGAATATCGGAGAAAAATGAGTAATCAATAATGGTTAAGCATCAGAAGTACCAACCCAGTACAATGGTACAAAAAAAAATCTTTTGGAAAACATCTTTTTGGGTCCTTAGAAAAAAGACTCTTGAGTTTTATGTTAGTCATCGATAGCAAAGGTCCCCCCCCAACCCCTGATCCAGTGAATGGCACTGGTCCATGGCCTGTCAGAAACTGGGTCGCACAAATAAGCAAAGCCCCATCCATGCACTTGTGAGACGCAGGCAGTGCACAAAACCATGGCCCCCTGGTCCACAGAAAAACCACTCGCTATGGGGAGGAGAGGGCAGCTGAAGTCACAGCGAAGAGATGTGGAGAAGCAGATCTGAAAAAAACAGCTGGCTGGTGAGAGGGGTGCGCATATGCGTGGTG